CCCCAAAACACCAAACAAAGCCAAGTATTTTTCTAAATAAATTTAATTTACAAAATATTTTAAAATAAAAAGTAGAATGAGACACGCACAACTTGTGATGAAAAAAAAATTGCCTCATCTGTTTATCTTTCATGAGCTTTAAAACTGAAAGACATACAGAATAATACTGTGTTTCCATGCTGTTTAAAAAAAAGGGGGGGGAGGCAGAAATCAAATTTAGCACAAGCACCCCTGCAAGAAATCCTGTGAAGCAAGCAATGTTAAGACAAAAGAACTTTACTTTTCCATAACAAAATTACACATAGGACTGAGTACTTCTACATTTACAGTACACTTCCCAACTTTTCCTTACAGCAAAGAATTTCCCCTAAAAAGACAACTTTAAGTAAAGACTTCCATCTAAAATATCAACCTATACAGATCACATTTAAAACACATTATCTCATATACCAGTGACAAAATATTGAGTTTATTTCACCTTATTCTTTCATATAAAAGGACTAACATTTAAACATGATCAAAATGATTATGGGGGATTTAAAAAAAATTACCATTGCTACCTTTAATCCATCAAATCCTTTTAAACCAAAACATTTCTTATGAATCATGAAAAAGATCCTTATGGGCTTAAGCAGAGTGACCGCCCTGCATTATATTCTGCCAGTGTCATTCTTCAATGCACACCCTGAAACAACCAAATCCCTACGAGATGATACTGTAGAAAAAGATCACCTGGGACAGCAGTCACAAGGACCTACAGATAAATGCACTCTACTTCCCTTAAGCTTCGGCCACATGGAGAACATGCAATCTGGATCAGTTATGCATGTATGCTCAATATAGAAAAAATTCACATCTTTTTTATTGTTTTCAGGAGGGGAAAAAGGTAATCTACAATAGCTTCTCAGAATTCATTCATAATTCTACATTCATGAACTTCTACACAGAAATTATTTTCAATTTGAAAACTTGAGGGTCATTTATTCCTTAAGCACTCCATAACCCATTTCACGTTCGATCAAACACGTTACGAGGGTGACTCCTTTGAAGCACTCTGCAGAGCTCCGGATGCTCTTTCACATTTGTTACTAGGGAAATAAGCTTAACTTTTTGATAATACGAAATAAATCCTTTGTCTTTGTGTTCTAGCATGACCCATATTTAAAAAATAACTACCCAAATTATACTCCAGACTAAAGTAGCACTATATTTTTAAGGAAACCACAGCCTTACAGAAGATATATCATCACCGTTACAATTACTGATGTTCAGCATAAAAAGAACCCATGAGAGCCATACCTCTGTAGGAAAAGTGTCAGTGCTCAAAGAAGAAATTCCAATATAAATAAATAAACTGAACATAAAATCCACTTAAAGAATTAAAGGCAGTAACCCAGTCAAGAACCAGAAATTTGTTCAGCAAAAAAGAACAGAATTCAATGTTTAAACAGAACAAGTGCAGCAAGTTCTCAGAACCACGCAGCAGTGAAGAGTACTAACACGGCCTCCACTCTTCTCCCCAAAGGTCAGCACGTGGAAAAGACCAACTTTTTGCAATGTGCCACTGATCATTCATTAGAGATATTTTTATGAGACCTGCTTCTTCCTTCTTTGGCAACAAATGGTCAACTGAGTCAGAGACTGCCAGATAAAACATAGCCTTTATTGTAAAAGCACCCTCCAGATCAACAGGACATGCACTCTTGGCTGAGTACATATACATATTAAAATGGCGGTACCAGACACCGACGGTGTTTCAACCCACGGAGCTGTGAGGTACAGATCTCTGCCCTTCAGCACCAGTCCTCTTAAGAGGAACTGACCTCCATCAGGCAGAGATCAGCTACTTCCACCTACCAAATGAAGTACCAGTCCATGAAAATTTACTTTGTTCATATATGAATTTTAAATAGATGTAAATCCATAAGAATTATAGCTCATGATATTAAAAAAATAAAAACTATGTATCTAGCACCTAAGCTTTCCTATTTTATTTCACTGTCAACTGGCAATGATCCAGCCTGACCAGCAGGTAAAAACACTAACTAGTAGGGTTATCTGCAAATAAAATAATGCCAAAGAACTAGTAGGTCATCTTTTCCAGGAATGACTAGCAATTCTGGTCACCCAAACAACAAAGATAGTGCTTGTTTTTCTCAAAAACGAGTCCTTTTATAATCTGTTTCTTGTTGGGCACCCAAAGCCATGAAGCCCTCTGGAAGATATTGACCTTAATGGTTTCTGAATGATCTAGAGAAAAAGCCATTATTCAGAATATATATAAAAGGCACAATCATGAAATAATTTTAAAAAGGACATTATCAAGTAAATATGCTCCAAATTTCATTTTAGTATTTTCCTAGAGTGCCTTCCGAACAGACTGGATTTTAAAAGCAAAAATTACAAACTATTTTTAAGCCACTGTTTTGTCAAAATCCTACACCACTTTTTTCTACCATAGGACAGAAAAGACAAGAAACAAGAGTTAGGCTTTTTAGTCTGAGAACTGCACTGACACCATTGATGTTGGGTTATTTTTAACGGCACAATTACAAATGCTGAAAATCATGTTTCATGTGGTAATATGAATATGATACATACATGTTGACCTGAAAACTACACATAAAAATGCAGTTTTCAAGCCATGGAGTGTAAAGATGACAGAAACAGTTTTATCATGAAAGGAGATGAAGGTGGAGTTAGAAAGCAGGAAGGGTAGTACTTGATAGTGTCCTTTCAGAAGGTGGCATTCAATGGCCTCACTTATTGCTGTATATTTGCTAGTATTCAGCTTCTTGCCAGAGATATTTACAGCATGTCAGTCTGAACATTCCCAGAGCACAGCTCTAAATTTTACTTTAGAGATACAAACATAGAACAGTTAAACATATGTAGTCCTGTTTTAGAAACTGAACTTTTAAAGTTTAGGACTTCTATTGTGCTTCTTTGGCTAAGTCCTATTTAAATATTGGTAACACTTAAAATTCTATAACTCTGCCACTATTTAACAGCTAACAGAAATCTTTGGTGTGTTTAGGTTAAGAATCCATTAGGGTACAAGGTTTAAAATATGAACATTCAGGCAGCTCTGGCCCCTCTCCTGCAAACTGCTCAACACTGAAGTAGACGGAGATTAAAACAATCTGACATCAAAGTATTTGAATACAATTGAAAATGATCCATGCCATTTAGAGTTTATAGAACTGGGATGATATATGAGCTTTTCACCACAGATCACTTGTGCTCAGATCACTGGATAAATTTAACATAATAATACACACACATCCTGTTTCCCATTGTAAAGTTTCTTTAAGATAATAATTTAAAAATAGGGAAAACTGGGGAAAATTTTGCCTTAATACATAATTCTCGTGAGGAACAATGACGATTATGAAATTACTTCAAATACTTTCTTTGGCATAATATTCACCAAACAAACACAGAATAATTATTTTTAAAGTAGGCTTAAAATAGAAAGCTTGATGAGGTTAAATTATACTAGATTTCATGGTGACTCACACTAGACTTGTAGTTCAAAATGGTTCTTTTGAAAAAAACCTTATGTCTAGTAAAGAAAAACCTAAAAATAAAGACATAAAATACTCTAAAGAGCTCAACTTTGTTTTATAAACACAGTACAAGAAAGTGAGAAACAAACAATTTCATTAGCAACTCACAGGAGATTTGTAATTACTGATTTTTTTTTTTTAATAGAAGTCGAGTACTGTTCTGGAAATAATAGTCTTTAAATTTCTTCACTATCACAGATAACCTGAAAATGGGCATGCTAATGTGGGACCCTGTTATAACTTATGCTCTAACAAGTATAAACCATGCCAATCCTTTATGACTGTTCACTGATTAAAATGATCTTGCAAATACTCCCATTTCATTCAAAGTTAGAGTGCGGGGTACACTTTAGAAGACAAACAAGATTGAGAAAGCAAGAAAAAATGTATATTAAAATTATATAGGACTAGCTGTAGAAAATTAGACAATACTATTGTCTAGATCTTCCCACCTAATTCAGTATTAGAGATCAAGAAAGAATTAAGAGGCCAAATTTAAGCAGCCTAATTATACTCAGGGGGATGACCAAACACCCTATTTAGTGTCTTCATAAAATATCTGAATCACTTTTCAGAAGAATCTAGTTCCTATGTCCATAGGCTAGACTCCAGAGTCCGGCAGACTTTAAAACCCTCCAAAAATGCCTGAGGGTTCAAGTAAAATTATATTTTAATTTCTATGTGAAACATAATTCAAAGTTTGTGTTTCATATCCCTGCCTGCCCTTACAACTTTTAATGAATCTGATATACTCCTCATTCTTCCAGAATGCTTTCTATTACACTGAAAACATTAACTCAGAGTGAGATGCAGAAAGGCAACCAATTTTTTTAAATTAATAGCCAGATATGTAATTACATTTTTCAGCCACTATCCTTAAAAGATATTTCAGAGCATAACTTTTAAAAGACCATCTATAAGATTTTTAAAAACTCTTAAAATCACAAGAAACACACTTTCAGTATGCATCAAAATGTGCCTAAATGTTCAAATATTATGTAAACAAACCTGTTTTTCCAAAACTATGCAGAAGACTCATGAGTCCAAATAAAATATAAAATATAAATCTTAATTGCCATATCAGCCTTCTGTAGGCTAATGGCTTAGTAAATTAGGTGGAATGTTATGGTCTGATCATGAGTGTTCATTGTTTGAAATATTCTGTACGGTAGGAGCTGTATCGAGCCCCAGTAAAGTTCCAAGATATGACTGGTCTCTGGGATCCAACATTTGCTCAGGCCTTACAGGATGAACAATATTTGCAGGTTGTGGAGTAAGAGTATATTTCTCTAGAAATGATAGATCTGTTGCTCGTTGATAATCTGTCTGCTCAGGTTGTGGAGGAAGAATGCCGTGTGACTGAGTAGTATGCTGTACTAGATCAGCTTGTGGATCAGACATCTGAACAGGTACCAGAGTCACAGGCACACATACTTCTGTAGATACATTCTGTAGCAAAGTTTTGGCTTCTGATTGATATGCTTTGGACTGTTCCACATACTGTTTAGCCTCAGTTTGGTAAACTTTGTCATCAGAGGTGTACTGCACTGGTAAAGAGACTAGCTTTTCCTCTGAAGATGTTAATGCCTCTTCTGCAGCCTTTGATCCATGAACATGATCAATATGATATTTCAGCTTGTCTTTTCGTTTAAATGTTGCATTGCAGTGTTGACAATTAAAAGGGCGAGCATCTGAATGAATAACCATGTGCTTTGTTAATGTCTTCTTAATTCTAAAGGACTGATTACAGATTTGACATTTGTACGGTTTCTCGCCTGTAAAGACAGACAAGTAAGAATTAGTTATTCTCAAGTAACACCATGTCACACACAAATATGCAAATACATACATGGACTATAGCATAGAGACCTAGTATAAAATAATTTTACTGAAAACAGCATACATTTAGCACCAATTTTGGAATCAAGGGAGCCATTAGAAGTTTGTTTAGAAGTTATATTTGTATACTCTTCTCCTTACATACAATTCTCTCAATACTTCGAATTTCTGCCAGGTACACACAAAGACAATCAGAATGTAAACTGAATAAAAAAGAACAGTCTTTAAACTGTTATACTGGTATTAAATGAGCTCAATTTGTACTTCTAAACATTTCTAAAGGACAATGATTTCCCTAAACATAATGCAGGAAAAACAAAGTCAAACACGTAAGGACATAAACTTTCCAAAGGGATTTCAAATCATTGTTTAGATTCCCACTTGAAATGTAGTATTCTCTGGACCACAAAATGATTAGAAGGTCTGGGTAAATTGGCAAGAACATACACCAGCAAACGAAAGGAAGCAGTGTAGAGAGCATACCACAAACCTGTGATGAGGATTATCAATATATCAAATGATACGTTCAGAAGGTAGTATTCAGGAATGACCAACATTTGAGAAAGAATAAAAAGTCTTGCTGCTTCCTGCAACTCTTGCCCTGAACGCTCAATCACCATAATGAATTAAATAATTCCATCAATGTTGATGCATAAAAAAAATACATTCGTACATGTTTTGTGGTTTTGTTGGGGGTTACTTTATTTTTACCTGAATGTGTCCTAAAATGCATTTCCAAACTTGATTTCCCTTTAAAAACTTTCTTACAGACTTCACACTGGTGAAATGTTGCTTTATATCTTTAAAGAAGAAAAGACATTTCATATTAGATACTTTTTTTTTAAACCAACTAACAATGAAGCTATGTGCATAGTCCTTTCTGAAATATTTAACTGCAAAATAGCTGAATATCAAAGTTTCCAAATTTCCTCACTTATGTTCATATTTCCTGGCATCTGCATACCAATAAGGTCAATAAGGTTATTTTTGACATTCAGTTTTATTCTCTGCTGGGTTTGGCACTTAGTATTCAAAGTGCATAAGCCACTAAAAGTTCTTTTCTGACCCCAAAAATACCTAGTTTTGCCCAACATCCACAAGAGGCTTTCACTTTGGCAGAATTATGCCATAAAGTACTAGGCATGGTTTAGGCTACTGACTACCAACAAAAAACAAAGCGAATAGCAGACAATGTACTATACTTTCAACACAGACACATCTATAATGGCTCCTACACAATGCTAATGAATACAGGCAGTTAAAAGACATTATTTGAAAAATAACTAGGTCTCAGTTTATTTGAAAAAATCTCTGAAAAGCTTGTATTTGGAGCTCAAGAATTAAAAACCCTATTGCATTTTCAATTTATAGACATAACTTGGATTTCTTACCTACTTTCAGAGCCACTAACCTGCTACCAGCTTCTAAAATACCTAAGTGTGGGATAGTTTTCACAGTGCTTACATGATGTCTAATAATTCAGTCTTAACTAGTCTGCAATGACAGTATTACAGCAAACCATCAATTTAGAACAACACCGAGACAGCTAACATTAAAATTTGATCCTTTTTTATGTTTTTATTTTATTCACTTAATTATGGTTCAAAGAAAACATCTTGCTTAAATTGTGAAGGCAATTTTCTGACATCCACTTCAAACCATAATGATATCTTATCAAGACTAAGGTAACAGGCATGACAGAACACACAGATTACTAGAATTATGCACAAACATGCAAGTCCCAGCAAAATCAGTTACAGTACAGAAGTATTTACTCAGTTATAAAACCACCACACTTACTTCTGCCAAACTTTTTCTCCCAGATGAACACTTTTATAATGAACAGTAAGGTGATCTCTACGGCCAAAACATTTTCCACACTCCTCACACTGATGTGCCTTTTCACCTACAAGGGCAAAATGCAATAAATTTTAGTTACATCTTCTGGAATTATAATCTTATTAAATGCCTAAAAGCTGTAATTGTAAGACACACAGTAGATCCATGTTCACAAAGTCCAGCCAATCAAGCTTTTTCATACCTTACTCAGAAAAGGATTCTCTGTTATCAAAGAACAAAATTCAGGAAGTAGGTTGGTTCTACCAGAGTAAGGATTTTTACCACTTGTCGAATATAACTATTACCAATTGTCATTTCTACAAAGAAATCCATGTCCATGAGTTAAGGGACACTTCCCCAAACCCCCACTATATGAGAGGCGCAAGTGAATGACTAGGAATCTGCTCTCTTCAGTATGACCCAAAATGTGACATCTTCAATAATTCAGCGGTTTTAAAAGAGAAGCTTATTTAAACATACCAATTATTTTCACCTACTAAATTTTAGAACTTAAAATTACATCACAGTATTTATCTTTATCCTAGTTTACATAGTTACCTTTTTCTTTTATGCTGCTGTTTAAAAGTATCTTGATTCTTTTTAGTCATCTTGAGATCTTCCACAAAGTGGCAGAATATTTCTTCTCATGTAAGTAGGAGGAGTGTGGACAGTCAAAGAATGTAACTTTCTAGAGGGGGGAAAAGCAAATAGAGTAGAAAAGAGGATTTTTTTTTTTGTATTTGAGTTTTCAAAGATTTCTTTATTTTATAGCCGACATTATGATTTCAAACACCAAAAAAGAAGCTGTCCTTTAAAATAAAGGCTCAGGAAGTTTAGACTCTGATCACTTTCATATTTTCATGCTGCCTAGAAAGTATTTTACCTCCTAGAAGGCCACATTCCCTTTGGATCTTGTTCTGAAAAAGGAAAAGTCCCTAGTGAATCTTTACTCTTCCTATACATTTGATGACCTTTCTGCTCTGAGTGCAACAGAAAAATTTTTTTTCCTTCTTCGGGATCATCCCCATTTGGCTGTTCTCAGGGTTGACTCCCACTACCTCCCTTCCTTCTCTCTTTCCCATAGCACAGACTTCAGAAACACCTCTTTGATGTTCTTGATTAAAGTGATCAGTGTACAAACTTTGACAGAGACTGCGACAGCTTCTTCTGTGTTTTGGTAATAATGTTTCATACAATTGCTATTAAAAAAAAGAAATCTGAACTCATTAAAAAATCCTCCTTTTTCACTTTTGCTTTTTTTATTATTATTTTTAAAGCAATTCACTGTTACATGTTTTTGACTGTCCCTTGGCTTTCTATGTTAACATGGAGGAAACACTTGGCTTTTAAACCTTGAAAACATGTAAGATTAACTCTACCTTAGTAGACCTTAAAAATAGTGACAGGAACTTCTATCAGGCCTAAAACATTGCATGTACTGAAAAAAGAGACATAATTAATTTTTTATTTGATCTTATTTCAAAATAGTAATTTCAAAGCCAATTTTCAAAGAAAATGCCTACCTGAGTGTATTTTTTTGTGTTTTGTCAGATGGTCATGCCGAATAAATGTTTTCCCACATTCTTCACATTCATATCTCTTGTCATCATGGTGGACTCTTAGATGAAGTCTGCATATTTATAGTCATAAATATAACCATACAATATAATTTTATTAACATAATCTGTACTGCTAATTCAATGCAAAATACCAGAAAACAGACTCTTTAATGCTTGACACAAATATCAGGAAGTAATTTTCAGCTGAGGTATGCTTAAACTGCTTTTAGAAAGGAAGAGAGAACTCTTCCTTTCTTATATCTGATATTAATATATCTGATATCTAACTCTTATATCTGATATTAATTTAGCAGGATATTTTTAAGTCCTCCACTTATTTTCTCTTTGAATAACAAAGATGCAAAAGTTTTAGATGTGCAAGAAAGTCAACTTTGACACAAGATTTGTATGGGATTCTGTCTGTGTTTAAACCACTAACGTCTTGTATTAAAAATTAAATTACTTCTCACAAGTTATTAATATATTTTCAATATATAAGCACATTTAAAGCATTTACTAATGCTCTCAGAGTTGGAATAAATCAAAACACATACACTACCAAGAATTACATTGATAACATAAATGTGTATACATATGCATCACCAAATAAGTGAGACAGTTTAACAGTTGATTTAATAAAAATCTGTACCTGTAAGAGCTTCCATGACGAAAACTCTGCCCACAAATACTGCAAAGATGAGGCTTCTCTCCACTGTGAATTCTCAGATGTTCTTTTAAAGTTGTTCTGTTTAACAAAGTCAGTAAAATTTAATTTTAAGCAATGTCACTGCCACTTTAAAGTGAAACAGACTACCAATTTCTCAATTTCTTTAACTCTGATGGATCACAATATATCCAAATAACTGCATCAATTTATTCAGGTACACACACACATATACATACATTCAAAGGCAGTATGGCAACCTATCTACTATTTATTGAACCAGCTGTGTCTAAAAACAATATAGGCAAAGAAACAAAACATCATCCCAACATACATTAGGACAACATACATTAGGACAACATACATTAAAGAAAACATCAATTTTGACACTATTTTCTATGTAATAATTTCCTTGTTACCACATGTATAAAGCCAGAGCTCTAAAGTCAAACTTAAAGGAAATCTAGATCATGGATGTTAATTTAACTTAACTCAGCACAGGGCTTATTTTAATAGATACACATTTATACACACATACATACATGTACATGTGTGAGTCTATTTTTCCTATCGCCTTTCCAATGTAAAAAAAAAAGTGCATGCAGGTGAAAATTCCTCTCAAACAAAGGAATCAGACAATAAAATTTACTGCATACACAGCTGGTAAGTGTGTGAACTAAACAAAAAGAGAAAATTCTTTGATCTCCTTCCAGTACTTATTATAGATATTAATATCAAAGATATTTTTAATGCTTTACACAAAAATTTTATCTTTTCTAATGACAGCAACATTTAAATATTCAACTGCCTTACATAATGTAAATGAAACTTGAAGTATGTAAACATACTGACTTTTTTAATCAGAAATTCTTCTTGCAGTTCAAAGTGAGCTTTATAGAATTATCTGTGCTTTATAGCTTGTTTTTTTATTATTGCATAGTACATTTTCTTTTAACACACACACATAATCTATTGACCAAACTACTAGAAAATACACACCACTAACAAAATCCATTAGGGATAAATCTCCCTCTTACAATACTTCCAGGGGTCTTTGCCAGTCATTGGACAAAAGATGAAAAATCAAGAAAACATACTACAGTACACAAACTCAGATCTTTTCATATTCCCCAAATAGAACATAGCTAGAATCTTAGCCACAGCTATTGAGACGAAGCTGTATTCCATTAAAATAATAGTAAAATAAAAAACCAAAACTGTAAGGCTTATTGTTTCAGAACCTAAACATAAATCACCATTTGGAAAACTTAAAAGATCTCCTTTATAGAGCAGTGCAAGACAACTGCGCTGAAGCCATGTTAACAACCATTTAAAACGTGCATTTTTTCCCCTCATATGTGTAGAATAGCAATTCTGTATACTAGACTTTATTAGCCAACTTTTACAGTTTCCACTTTACAAAGCACTAAATTAACATTTTTCCCCTCCATTTAAAGAAGCAGCAGCAAAAGTTATCAGTATTAGTCCATCTTCCATGAAACCGTATTTGTAAAGTCCAATTTCTTCTCAGTGATTCTCATCAGTATTCCTCATCTTCCTATCCTTATCAGCATAATTAACAAAATACCTATGGCAGAAAAATCTTTCCCAAACAAATGCAAGACGTGCTTGCACAACACAGGAACCCGAAGCGAATCAGAGGTAAGACCTTCTTAATACAATTCTGCCTCATTAACTTTACCTATCCTTTTCACTCTTAATTTTAGAGAACATCAGAAAATCACATGCTACCCGTGATACATGAGCCCTCTGATACACTACCTTTTAATACACTAGCCCTCTAAAACGGTCTCATTTATGTTAAAATCTCAAAGCTGAGACATTTTCAGAATCAAACAAAGCATGCTATATATTTGTCTGTTGTGCTGAAGGTCAAGCAGTCGTGCAACTCCTTACCGTTCCCTCACGGATTTCCCACAGATGAAACATGTCCATTTTCTCTTTCCTCCATGAGTACATTCTATATGGCGTTTCAGATTTCCTGTATCATTAAACTGGCGGCCACAAATATCACAAGGAAAAGGCCCTACAAGGAGACAGACACACATAGTATTATTAACTGTCAGTTAAACCAAACAAGATGCAGAGACCGGTTACTTGTGAAAAAACCCTGATCAATTTACAAAGCAAAAGTTTTGTCTAACCAATGATTAATGTTTAGTACAGTCAGCATACTTTAATTAGACTTTGTGCACTTTTTGCTTGGATAAGTTATTTTTAATACTTGGTATTTTGGCACCTTTCATGGTTGTAAAGCAAAAATTTAGAATTAATAGAAAAAAATAATTAAGCCCACTTAAACTGTTTGAAAAACCAAATTCCCATTACTATCACCTATCTAGTTCCTATCCAGCAGACATAATTAGTAGTAATAAAAGAAGTCTTTGGAATACTTCAGGAGGAAAGAAAAAGGTCTTTGGAAAACTTAACTAAGAATATGACTCCATAGCTGAGAACCAATTTTTAAAAGAAAAAGTTTTAAAAGAAAACTAACCTTAATTCTTCTTCCTTGCCCAAAATTTTTCATTTATTTAAGTACAGTACAGTGCCCCTCAAAAAGGCAGCTGAACAGAAAAGTAAAAAAACCACCAACAAAAAAAAACCCCAAACCAACTCCCCCACAAAACTGGAAAAGGATGTGGGGTGGAAACCAGACTGATCAGGATATACAATAATGGAGGAAGATTTTACTTGAAATCTATTGTTTACATGTCAGAAGGAGGTTTCTATACCGAGATGGAATTTTTCTTGATGTTTCAGTCTTGCAAAGCGGGATTTAAAGTGCTCTTCACAGTAGGTACACTTAAAGGGTTTATCCTGAGAGTGAAGGATCATATGCTCTTCTAAATGAGGTCTTCGAGTAAAAGACTTCTTACAAATCTAAAATGGTAACACACTTTGTCAAAGACACATCAGTTATAAACAGGTATTTTTTCCTATTCATAAACTCTAACAGTTTAGTTCATCTGCTCTGTGCAGCAATGTAAGATTAAACACGTATTATTCAAAAGCATACTCTATCCCAACTTGTAAAGCCTTGCAGTCAACATAAAAAAAAAAAAAAAAATCTGTGTTCTACACAAACCCTATTAGATTGCACTATATAAATTAGGATGCTGATCCATGGCAGCCTAAACCAAAGTACTGGCAGCTCCTGCATACAGTTACATGTTCCACCCACTCTTCGTTCTATTGACTCCAGTCCTTACCAGACTCTTTCCATAGGGTGTTTCAACAGTAACTCAGCAGAAAATATCCCAACAGAAAAAAACCAAACAGCTTTGGCTTGGTTTCGGATGCAGAAACAGCTCAGTTGGACTGTGGTAAAAGCTGTTGGAGTATAAGCTCCTACAGAACTAGAGTCATACCTGTTCCTTCCATAATTTTCCTCTGGGAAAATTCTCTAACAGCATGTATTAAAGAAAAAATGCCAATACCAATAAAGAAATATAGCTCAAAATATATTTTAGAGATACAGAACTTTCACAATGTTAAAATTATGTGAGCTTTTTAGTACTGCTTTCAGATTAATCAAAGCCTAAATGTACAAGAATTATTCATAGTCATTAAAGTAAGCATGCAGTTAAATTACAGAATTGAAGCCACAGCTCAAATTTAGGCATTTAAACTAGGTATTACAATTTAACATCAGGGTCCTACGCTTTAACATAATATGGTGCTCACCAATTCCACTATGAAACTGTTGCCATTGTTTATAATATCTGAATTTAGTACTACCTAACTCCCATATATTAAATAGTGCAATCAGCTTCTCAGAGCACACCTGAATAACAAACACTCTTCTAGCCTCAGGAAATCAGAAGCAACAGCTTTATTTATTTAAAAACTCAATAATGTTAAGTGTAAGAAAATCCCATACCTGTAAAAAGTATAACAGCCTTCCTGCTTTTCTTTACTATTAATACTCTACTGTTTCTGTGAATTCGCTCATGTTCCTCAAGGATTAAAGTATGGTCACCAAATCCTGGTGTTCACACACGGGCTACAGCATAAACCACCAACCTGAAGAAATCCTGCAGCTTACATCTGTGGCACCTCAGCCCTCAGAACATCCTAAACAACCTGAAAACAAAGTCACAGCTCCTGAGGGTTCTCCAACTACTATAAAAGCTAAAATTCTACTCCTGCTTTCAATTCAAGTTCATTTTCAATGCACACGAGCACTATAAGAGCAGCAGCTCACTTTTTAAAAACTTCTACTTAACATAAAATTAAAATTTGCAAGCAAAAAACCCCCAAACTACAAAGTGGAGTTTAATCACAGAATCACAGAATAGTTTGGGTTGGAAGGGACCTTTAAAGGTCATCTAGTCCAATCTCCCTGCAATAAGCAGGGACATCTTCAACTAGATCAGTATGCTCCGAGCCCCATCCAACCTGGCCTTGAATGTTTCCAGGGATGGGGCATCTACCACCTCTTTCAGCAACCTGTTCCAGCGCTTCAACACCCTCATTGTAAAAAATTTCTTCCTTACATCTAGTCTAAATCTACCCTCTTTTAGTTTAAACCCATTATCCCTTGTCCTGTTGCAACAGGCTTGACTAAAAAGTCCCTCTCCAGCTTTCCTGTAGGCCCTTTTAGGTACTGGAAGGCTGCTATAAGGTCTACTCGGAACCTTCTCTTCTCCAGGCTGAACCACCCCAACTCTCTCAGCCTGTCTTCATAGGAGAGGTGCTCCATCCCTCCAATCATCTTCATGGCCCTCCTCTGGACTTGCTCCAACAGGTCCATGTCCTATACTGGGGACCCCACAGCTGGACGCAGTACTCCAGGTGGGGTTTCAAAAGAGTGGAGTAGAGGGGCAGAATCACCTCCCTTGACCTGCTGGTCACACTGCTTTTGATGCAGCCCAGGATATGGTTGGCTTTCTGGGCTGCAAGCACACATTGCTGGCTCACGTCCAGCTTTTAATTCACCAGTACCCGCAAGTCCTTCCCCTCAGGGCTGCTCTCAACCCCCTCATCCCCTGGCCTGTACTGGTACCAGGGGCTGCCCCGATCCAGGTGCAGAATCTTGCACTTGGCCTTGTTGAACTTCATCAGGTTCACCTAGGCCCACTTTACCAAATTTTACCCAATTTACCAAACCATTCATCTAGTAAGAGTACTTTCCAAGAAATGAACACCAGTAATGTTGCACAATTGATTCCCACTATTAAAATGTTTCTTATCTAGTAACAAATAGAATCTGCAATATGTTCATACAACATAACTTCATCTGGAAGATAACACCCTTTGGTCAACCACGTAGTATCTCCAACCATGCTACCATCACCACCAGATGAACACTATGAATTCCTACACTTGACATCTCCCAACCTCCTACTATATGGTTATAAGTTGAAGTTCATAAACAAGATTAGTAATTGTTACAGCACTTAACATTACAGACATACAGGGGCAAATAGCGGTTTGCATAAACAAAACAGCTGCCCTGAAAAAAACTCAAACCTTATTTCCCTTAAAAAACCCAACAAAACCCCATATTTGAAACCTTAAAACATTATTTGGCAGCAGAGATAGAGAATGGAAATTTTACAATCTGCTTTTTACAGTAGATACAGTTTCACACATATAACACTCTGGGGAAAAGCAAGGAAAGTATTATATGATTTTATAACTAGAGATAAATTTAGTACAAATTTACAAGTCTCTTGATGTGCGTATACAGCTAAATGAGAAAGTGTTTCATATTTAACATGTATTTTCTTCACTATTGAGAGAGCCTTCCAAAAAGAGTATTCTTTTTGGTCAGTGTTTGATATGCATAATTAATGGGAGAGCAAATACTCTGTTTTTAAAGTATTCATAACACTCTAGTCTAATAATCTGCAAATGAATGTATTTTAACAATGGTAATAGCTGATCACACGAAAAAATAGTGCCCTCAACTATTTTAGAATTCAATTTGGTATGATCTACGCGGTCACAAGCTGTACACACAGCATAAATTTCAGTCTTTAAATTGGGACATGAAGAGGAAATTTATACTATCACTTACAAAGCTTACTGAGATGTCACAGAAACACATACCATGTTTTCACTTAAGTATTCAAGTCACAAAACAGCATAGTATCTATATAAAAAAACAAAAGTACTGAAATATTACTTACATCACATTTCCAACCTTCACTCTTTGTCTTCTTGATAGAAAGAAATTCTTGTACATTCTCTGGATGAAACCTAGGAGAAAGACAGAAGCTGAAAGTAGAACTTTCTACGATGAAGATCACCCAAGTACTCTAAACTTTACCTGTCATGAAAGCTGATCACCAAACTAGCAGAACAGAATACAGATCATTAAACAATTCTAAAGTCAGAAGTAACTGGAAAGCAGCGTTGACTATAGACTTTTGCAGAATCTCATACAATTGGTAAAACAGAGGACAATTTCAGTTATAATGCTTTATGGATATTTACAATGAAAGAAAAAAGTGTTATGTAAGTAATAATACCTTACAATTAGACCTATCATAAACAAATTATTCACCTAAAAGAACCTGCATGGAAATGGTTTATCCCATCTATTATGATCAACATCTAAAACCAAAGAAGATACTTTATTCTTCCTCTAAATTGAAAGCAACACAGGTAATTATTAAGACTGTTGTGTTCTGACTGACTGTGCTAACTAATCTGAGCATTCTAAAATTTATAGTAAAAATGCAAGATAGAACTCCCACAAAACCGCTATTGCGCTCCTTACGGCAGGTCAGGTGATACTGCTAATGCCCACGTCCTTTGAGAAGATATTTATTTGAAAAAACAGTTATAGAAATAATGCAGAATATGCTGTGTGCATACATACATTTATCTTTGGTTTTGAACTGAAAAAAAACAATTCTTCAGAAATGTGAGAAAAAATTTGCTCATACTTGCCTCTTCACATGCTTCGCTAAAGTCTTTTTGCTTGCATGCAGCTTGTTGCAATAGGGACATTTGTGTTCCTTTTTATGAAAGTCAGTATCACTGGAGTGTTTCTTTCTGTGCACTGTCAAGTTGGACTTTGTTGAATAGCGCTGGTGACATATATCACACTCAAAAGGCTTCTCACCCGTGTGTACACGTGTATGGCTCTCATATTTGCCTATAAAAAAACAGCAAAACAAATCTGTTAGCATAAACTGTGTCAGGCATCACCTACAATATACACATTTGGGGTTTGTTCTATAATACCTCTCTCAAATGTAGCCAAGATCCAAGTACCTTCCACACACATCTAAAGATTTCTACACCACTGAAAACTGCACGGTCATCACATACATGTTTGATCCAAGGTTCCTCCACACACTTCCATCTTAACTATTTTTAAGATAAAGAGTAAAAATAAAAGGGCTCTGTATTACTGTTAAATCTGTACGAGGGTTACAAGTCTCTCTTGTTCAACCTTACAGCATACTCTGTTCTTAAGTATTGAAAGTTATACTACTAGTCTTTCATCACACTGATTGTGAAGTACCTTTTCAGGATAGGGAACAGCCTTGCAACAACCTGGTATTTAAGGTGTTTTCAGATAACAAAACACTGAATGAATGATACCGATCCTTGCAACAATCTATATTTGGGACCCAACATATTACCATAAACAAAAATACCACTTTCCCATTTCTTTCACACTGCTTGGATTACCTCTTCTGTTTGTCAGGGTTTTTATGAGGATAGAATTCAGTCCTACACCGAGGATCCACCTACCTAAAGTCAATAGAACGCTCTCTGCTTTGTTCTACATATTTTTTTTTCCTCTGTAGAATATGCATCATACTTCTGGGAGTTAGATAAACGAAGTACTATAGCTCATAAATTTAAAATACAAGTTAATTGTCTACAGCAATACAATACTTTATATTTCTTATAAAGAAATACTGTTATCACTTGTTTCAATGCTATTTCTCATGGATTTTTTGAGCATAAAACTAGAATTCTAAGTCATGAAAGTGCAAAGAGAAAAGGGCTTCCAGTGTGTGCAAAAAACTCAGTTTATTTCCCATACAAATAGCACCACCATATGGTAAAAAGGAAAAGAGATCAACCTAACTTGCTCTTACCTATTCGATCAAATTTTTTGTCACACTTGGGACACTGCAGTAGTTTTTTGCTACTGCTTTGAATGATGACTGGAGCTAAGCCTTCAGGAATATTTCCCACGGAATCAACTGCCTCAGAACCCTCTTCAGTATCATTCTGTTCTTTTTCACTTTGTTCTTCAGACTCTGAATCTTCACCCGACATTTCCTCTTCCTGTCCCTCCTCATCAGCATTGCATTCACTTTCACTGTCTTCAAATTCACTTCTATCAGATGTTTCCTTGTCAGAACTGATTTTTTCCAAATTGCTGTCAGAGGCATCACCACTTTCATTGTCACTGTTATCAAATTTAGCTGGACATTTACGGTTTCTCGTAGAACGTCTAGTGGAAAAGTTGGCCTTCTCAACCATTTTTAACCCATGTTTTCTTTCCAGTGAAAGGGATCTGTGGGCTTTAGCTAAATGGTTTTCTAAGGACTTCTTGTAACAGAAACTTCGACCACAAAAAGTGCACTGATGACTATTTAATAGTTTACCAGTCAGTTCACTGAGTGTTTCTACTGGTGTAGGTGCATCAGTTACATCAGTCTGTACGTTAGAAAGACTTTCATTATTTAGTAACTTCACTGCATCTATGATATCTAAAAATTTTGCTGCTTCCAGCACTAATGGAATTTCATTTTTATACACCAAAAACTCAGAGGTGTAGAGAAACTCAAGCAAATGCTGAAAGACAGAATGAGTTACATGATCTAAAGTGACTACATCGGTGCTTGGATTTTTGCTCAAACAGGCATGAAAATAACTACTCCCAACAGCAACTACAACTTTGTGGGCACTAAATTCTTTTCCTTCTACAATTATGAGTAAATCACAAAATGATGGATGTTTCTGTCTATCATCATTTAAGTATTTAAGTAGATTTTTGTTATACTGCAATGAACTTAGGAGCTTTCTTTGTTCTGATGATGGTGAAAGTTCTTGGGAAGATTCAAGCTGATCTCCAGTAGCTACTTCTGCAGACTTTGTGACAATTTCTTGTGCACAGTCTACTACAAGAATCTGTTCTGAAGTATCTTTCTCATGGCCAAGATGAACCTTTTCATTTAGATTTGCAGCGAGCCGTCTCCTTTTCTTCATTGCAGAAGTGCAACTCTAAAATCAGGAGCTTCATAGGTGACTGGCAAAAAAATTCTCATTAAGACATGGTTCTGCTCCAGATCTTGAGAAAATACGTAACAGTAATTTCATTATCTGCAAAAGAACTATGACAAAAATTACTCTTTGCACTTAACCGTAACTTCCTTTGTTTTTATCAATGCTTTCTGTATGTCACTCTTAGTTTTACCTACCCTGCATTCCTTAAGCTTTTATTAAATTACCAAAACCCCATCAGTTCCCATTCCAGGCCATGGCATAACGCTACTCAGAGCGAGCGCACCGACACCACCTATTATTAGACCGGGGCTGGTTTCGCTCGTCTCCCAGACGCGTAGCGCCAGTGAAATATCCCGGGATGCGCGTACACCGTTGTTATTATCATTACACCGAAGCACATTCGCTTTCCGTTTAACCCCAACAGGGCGAGCACCCCCTCTGCTTTTCCCGCCGGGCGCCCGTCCCCTCAGGCCAG